GTTTAACATTTAAATAGAATTAAATAACAACAGCCTGATCACATCTCATCAGGTTATTGATCCTTCAAACACCAGCGTCAGTGTCACCCGTACGCCGTGTCTCAGGATAACTGAGGATGAACATGTTGCAGAACAGAAAGCCTCGCTGCTCTGACAAGACAAGGGTCAGCGGGACAAACTGTCCGGCCTCCTCCCCCTTCACACCCTCCCTTTGACTTAATACCCCGCTACATTTTGATGGCGAGTCAGTAAGTGGGACCTCTTTGGGGAGACAAAGAGTGACCTCAATTCAATCTGACATCCCACCTATCGATCTGCACTGCCGTATCCCCCAGAGACAGACGTCTAGCTCGCCCTTGTACTGCCAACATTCAAATTCAGCAGCAAGACAAAACATGCCTTTTTATTAAAACAAAATCCCATCACTTGTCTCGCCTCCTCCACCAAATTCTAAATTACACACGGCGACCTGCTTTCACAGGTCTACCTCCTCCCACGTAGGGAAACGTTCATCTTCAGAGGGGCCCTTTTGCTAAATTGAAAGTGTGTCATAACAAATAGAGGAGGTGTCTTGCTTAAATATATGTGACTGGTTCCGATGTCATCTCTGTCAGAAGAGCATCCCTTGTTTTTTTAACAGGGGGACTGTGACATGGACCCAGGACAATTACTGTCAGAGCACACAGGGTGATGAATCTGCTGCCTTATTGTGTTTGTCATCTCGACCTCTGGCTGGGACCTGATTGGTATGGCTGGCGACCTACAGACGGCCCAGACGGACGCATTGTTTCTGTCCTGCATGTGTAAATGTGTGCATCATAGCACTGCGCTGCAACCTAAATGACCCTCACTTGATTTGGTAAAGATCTCCTGTGGCATGGGAGAAAAAATATAGACTTCAAAATGAGTCAAAATAAATATAAAACCTACACAACACAAAGAAAATACACAAATATTTATATTGCCTTTAAATGTAATTGATATATTATTCCTGATTGTGTGGTATCTAGAGCATGTTGGGACTGGGACATAATGTTCAATTTTGAAATTGCTTAAAGCTAACTCAAGTCTATTGACATACATTTTCTGTCCCCATGCAGGTTAACATTTGTGTGTTTACTGGCAGAAGAAGATGCTGATCAATGTAGTTTATAGAGCTCTATTAATAATAAACAGGGAAAGAAACCCAAAATTAAAAACCTATTACGACTGAATCACTCTTGAAAACATCAAAACAAAGAAATAGTTAAAGAAGGAGTCCGATAAAACCACTGCAGGAACCTGAGTACGCAGGGCCCCTGATTTGACACGTAAGCTACCATAAGTTTTCAACCTAACGTGAGGTATTATTGTTTTTTTCCCCATCTGTACACTAAGGATTCAATAAAAACTGCCATCAAAGCAAGAAATGTTTAGTAAATACCCTTAATAGTATACAACGTAAACCTACAACAATAACCGCATACATATAATATGCAAAGTAATTTACCCACAAAGGATTGACCTGTAATTGCTGCACCTGGTTCTGATATTTACGGGCTCTGATTTGTATCTTGAAGCAACATATTTCGCTTTTATGGTTTATGCTGAGCCTGGTGTTCGCCATAAATGGCAGGTGTGCAAAATTGAAGTGCAAAAGTAATTCAGCTCCTGCCATTCAAAGGAGCTGTGTCCGTTTGATTTACCTGTACACATAAACATGTGCACACACACACACACACACACACACACACACACACACACACACACAAACACACACACACAGCCACCCACACACACACATACACCTTTGGGCCACATGTGTTTTTTATATTCATACGCTGAAGGAAAGAAAAAAATGTGCGCCTCCAAAATGGAGGTTGAGGGGTCATGGTGTTTGGCCAGGAGTGACAGCTCAGAAATGAAGGCATAAGTCAATCGGCTACTCTTATACGCACACACACACACACACACACACACACACACACACACACACACACACACACACACACACACACACACACACACACACACACACACACACACACACACACACACACATGGGGAGGCGTGATGGCGGTGGGCGGGTGGGATCGAGGG